TAGACAGACTTACTAATGCACTCTCTTAAAAAAATAAGTCTTAACATTGTATACGCTCATATGTATTAGAGAGCGTTTAACCGATGTATCATTATTGTGTGCACAAATAAACTATGCATCAAAAGAAAAAACGACACAAAACAAAAAGCCCTCTATGACAGTCAATAGGAAAGAACAAGATGAATCCGTGACAAAAAATTCCGTTGTGGTTTAAACAAATGAAGTAAAAAGGAGTATAATATATATCTATATTTCACCGCAATATGTGCAGGCGACGCCAAATCAAAAGGCGATGATATAGGGATATATTCTCTGTGTTCATTTGTCAAGAACTATGATATATTCACATGGGCGAATAGTGATAGTATATAGGTTGGAGAGGTCGAGGGCTAGACTGCAACGCGAAATTATGTTCCTATTAACTGACTGACTCTATAGATTTTGATAGCAGACACTCCCTCCTTTTCAGAAGAATAAAATCTGCTGCAAGTCTTGTGACCTGCAGAAGCTGAGACACATGTACCTATTCTGCTGCTGCTACTTCTAGCTTCTGAATTCATCATTATACGTTCGATACATGAATCTTTTCCATCAGCGGTCAATGCAAGTTTCATATGCTCCTTCATTTCCTTCCAGAAAATGCTTGGCTCCTTCCATGAATGTTCTACTATGTTTTAGTGTATCCACACGTCATGATGTTTTTGGGTTAATTCCTGATCAAGGATCTAATAACTAAGATGTAAGTAGCCAGGCATTCTTACATACTTACATGTCAATCACAACGAGTTTGTTGTAGTATACTCTGGTATATTCTATACATGTACATCTTGATTTCTTACTTTTATTTTCTTAATCAATTATCCATTGACCAAAATTGAAATAGCCGTTTTTACTTACAAGTCAATCCAAACTAGTAGCCGTTCTTACTTAGAAGAGATAAAATGAACATAAACCCATCATTTGATTATTGTGTTGGTGTGGTAGGGCCTAAATGCATGTTTAGTTAGGCCATCAATTTCAATTGGTCTAGTTTAGTACTTCCACACGTAAAAGATGCAGCAAGTTTCGAGTGGCTGCCTGCCTGCAGAAAACTGTTTCTCATTGTTTGAAGAAACATTTTAAATGATCGTAAAGACCAAGGCATGCATGCATCATAGCTAAATCAGGCTGATGATTACTTCTCTTGCTGCGCATGCTTCGCTATTTTCATTGGAAGATATATGGAGTTTTGGGGATTCTTAATTAATTCCAATGTGGATTTAGTTTCTCTAATCTCCATCATCCACTGAATTTTACTACTGCTGCCTCTATTTGTTTAAACTGTTCTTCACGAGTTCAAAATTGTGTTTCATAGTAAAATCTCCAACCACCCATTAATTAATATAATACAAGAATTAATGTTCTTCAAAACTGTGTTTCATAGTATAAAAAGAAACACTTAAAACAACTTAATTAAGAAAAAAACTATGAATTTGGAAATTCTTAAATACAATAAGAGACATGTATTACTTCTTTAATATCTCTCTGATTAGGTGAACATATCACCATGGTCGGACTTACATAAAATCAATTATGGATGTCCGCCCACGTGGCATAAACTTATTTAAGCTTACAGTACTAATCCCTATCAATGTATGGGCTAATATTATTAATTTGATCATCTGCCCCCCCCCCCCCGCGCCCTCCACCCCCCCCACAAAAAAAAAAAAAACACTTCCATTTAGCCTATTTTGAACCCACCAGGCTTTTTCAAAGACGAAATCTTTGGTCTATCCATGAATTTCAATATCACGTGATGAGAAATATACTAATAAGGAGATACATGTACTCTCGATCAGTTATATGCTAAAATATCTCATACATTATACTATTATTGTATCGCACATAAATAATTCATAAATTATGAGTTTTCTTTATATTTAAACTCTTCGAGTGTTTCAATCTAACATTACCAGTTATCAAATAGGCTATGTACACCAAATAAGTATTTTTAATGAGTTCCCATATGCAATTAGTAGAGCTTTATGCAATTTGGAAAAGGAGGGGTGGCATCATTTTTTTTGTTTGGTAAAGAAGGGAAAAGCTTCTTTAAAAGCATAAACCTTTGAAGCATGGGCTGTGAACTAAGTTAAAGCAAAGGTTAGAGTTTTTAATTAGAGTGATAACTTGGGGTTTAGAAATTTCTAATCAATGGATGCTAAATCTTGTAAGATTCGTCTTCTCTTAGGTATCAACCCCATCATTGCTAATGAGGGCAGGACCACCACAAATCCACATCTATGCTGCTGCTTCTTCTGAGATTAAGACCCACCAGAGGTCCTGAATGCTGCCGCACGCGTGATACCTTATTAGGACCAATTTCTCTCTCTAATTAGTCTTCAATTAAATGTCTTTTTGGTTGTGCTTTAAATTAACTTTTATTATTAACTTAATAATAATGTTGGTTCTTTACTTGTTTAATTTTGGTTGTTTACTTATTTTATGTATAACACAACACGTGCAACAATTGTTGGGTCGAATGCCCTCTCATACTTTCAAAGGTTGGGCCCACTAGTGTATCTTGGACAATCATCTGTTTGTAGTGACTGATCTTATCCGTTGATGCATTGTGTGTTTCTTCATAAATGATCAGGATCAATTCACATATACGTGCGGGACAAACATTAAAATTTCTCTCAAATGAATTTGATTTTGTTTTCTACAATGTTTAGTTTAAACTGTTGTAATAATGATTAAGCAATCTAACTCATATCTGCAAACTGCTCAAGGTGAATTGTTGTGATCAATTTATAATCAATTCTACTCTGTTTAGGGAGAAAAAAAAAACATTTCATTGTGGGGTTTTGGAATTTGAAACATTTTCATGAGGAAGTTGGCTGAATTGAATCAAATCTGTGGTTTGTTTATCTTCAAGCAGAGCTGGCGAATCTAAATTAAAGCTCTTAATTTTTTCTTTTTTGTCAGATGAAAACATTGATTAGATTAAATGGAAGCTATATTGATCTTAAAATAAGATGCGGTGGAATAGTTATATGAGAAATGATAAGGATACTCTCTCAAAAGTGCGATTATTCATAGATTTTTAGTCACCACACATTTTTGACAAAATATTTTATAATGTTGACACAAGAATTAGAGTTAAATTATAAGGTGTCAAATAGTCCGAGTCCAATTTTGAGAGAATATCATTCTCATGGTTTTGGATGCATTCATTCACAAAATGCTTTTGATAGAACGGTACATTTGTACCAACCGATGGAGACTTTTAGACTACATATGTTAGGAGTAAAATGTTTAGTATAATTAATCACTCTCTCAAACAATGAAACCCAATGTAAGTCCTCACGTTGATCAGTTTGGTGTACCATCCATATCATCGTATTTAACAATTTATATTTGCTTTGAAGTGCTTATTGTAAAACCAACCTCCCCCCTGCTTTCACTAAATACAATTTAAAAATGACATATTACACAGCATGACCAATATAGGCTTCATAATCTCCATTGATCTAATTCATCAATTGCTTAATGTTATCAATCACCAAACCCATTCAAAAGGTATCATGACTCAAGCGAAAAATTGTTGAAATGATATGGAGGGAACTATCAAGTGACCTCATTCAAAGTTCCTTATTTTACCGTTGTTAGCCTAATTTAAAAAGAACGATTTAAATTTGAATGCATATGAAATACAGTGACCTAACCAACTTAAATTCGTCCTCTGAAATATTTACTCCTGGATTATTAATTAATGAATATTTTAGGACTCATTTATAGGGTGTAAGGGATTCCGACTTGGGATCAAATTAGCCGCTAAATTCGGAATAAATTTGTAGTTTTTCCAGCAAGATCACAACCAGGCCTAGGAGGAGGAGGAGGTTTGACCAGATAATTTTGTTTGACCAGGTTTGTTGGGTACTTAGATTAAGAGAGTAAGAAGCTTTAAACAGGCAATAATACTAGTACAGCTGGATAACTGTACCAGGACAAGGAGGTAAATTCATGATTAGATTCCGTTATTCCTTACGTTCCTCACCACTCACGGACTCAAAACCCTCCAAAGTTAAAAAAAGCACGTATTCATCAATTTACCCTTTAAACTTGTGATTATTGACCAATTTCTCTCATCAACTTTAATTTTGGCCAATTTTCCCCCTCAACTCTCATAATTAGTTAATTTGCACCCTATTGTTAATTTTTAAAATTTTTCATCTATTTTTCCGTTAAGTAGATATCTGCATGACTGCCTTTGAAGGGCAAAAAAAGTCAATTTGCACCCTACTGTCATTTTCCATTAAGTAGGTTTCCCTACACCTTACCAGAGGCAGACGAGGCCTACGGAGGAGGCGACAGGATGTGGGTAGCTGCAAACTGCAAAAGCAGCATATCAAATGGACTGGGCTGCAAATAGCGGAGGAGGGAGGCGTTGGCGGTAGTCACGGCTCGGCTTGGAGAAAAGGAAGAAGAAGAGAAAGTTAGAAAAAAAATGAAGAAGATAGAAGGTGTAGGAAAAATAACTTTTTTACCCTTTAAAGGAAGTCATGCGGATACCTACTAATTATGAGAGTTGAGGGGGGAAATTGATCAAAATTAAAGTTGAGAGGAAAAATTGGCCAATCCTTACAAGTTCGGAGGTAAATTGATGAATAGCTCAGAAAAAAAAAAAAAAAAAAAAAAGAAGCAAAATATACCAGTACCACCAACTAATATTAGATTAATTTAAGGAAAACTTTGAGATTTTAGTCAGTGTCACGCATCCCCGGCTTAACACTCTCAATGTGGTCCCCTAGAAGCACACACCTGTCAAAGCGGGGCCCACCAATCATCAAATAATATTACCATTCATATTAATATAAAGTGTTTAAGTGAAAAATCTTACGTCTAATCAATACCCATGACTGGCAGGTAATTGCATATCAAATTACTTTGACTAACACATTGGATAGCTGAATTCGATTTGTAAATATAGTGTAATGAAAAAGGGAAGGTAAGAAGAAAAAAAAAATCAGAAATCCAATGGTGGAGTAGGGGGGATTGATTTGAAAGTGGGGTCCAGAGGAATTAGAATTGATGTGCAATGATGCAGATGGAAGGATGATGGAGGTTAGGAGCATAATGAGTTTCTTCTCAAAAGAAATGAAAGGGGGTTATTGGGTTAGTTGGCACTGAGAAAAATGAGTGTGTAACAGCAAAGAGAGGTCTCTTAGAATGGTTGGCAAATGTGTCAGTAATTTTTTTTTTAAAGTATGTCAAAGATGGGAAGCAGGCAAACTTGGCCTTGAAGAGAAGAACCTCTCCAATTTTTTAATTCCCAAAGGAAAACAGAGGGAAAGCATTATTGTATTCGGAAAATTGCAGACAAAGAAAGCTCAAAGTAGAGAGAGAGAGAAATTACAAGAGAGTAAAGTGTGGAAGGAGAGAGAGAGAGAGGGATTAGGTTCTGTAATAATTTTTCCAACCAGAGCAGTTGGCAGTGGTTATTTCTGGTTCTTTTAAAATCATACATGTCATCTGTGAACTTGTGCAGGTAAGCAAAGTCTCACTCTTTTTTTTCTATAGCTCCATAGCTCTCTCTCTCTCTCTCTCTCTCTGCTGCATTGTGTCATTGTGTGTGTGATCTATATAAAAAGTTTGAAACTTGATGCTTCTTTTGCTGTTTGTGCAAAATACCCAATTGGTGAACTGAGATTTTCCTGTCAAATTTGACCAAGAATTTGATTCTTTTGGAGGTAAAATCAAAAACACAATTCAGGGACTCAGCTAAAAACCTGCCCATTTTCTATTCCTTCACAATTCAAGCATATATTTGATGGTCTTTCTTGGAGTACCCATCCGAGAATATCTTAAAAGGGGTTCTGCAACTTTGCTTTTTCTCAGTTTCTAGGCTTCTAGCTTTTGATTCAAAACTTGCAAGAGCTAGTTGTTATTTCCTGATAGGTAATTTGGCAGCCATTTTTATTATATATTATTATTATTATAATATTCGATTGCTTGAAGCTTGGAGAGATTCTCCTTCTCCCCAATTTTGGTCATAGTTTGAAGAGATTCAAAGCCCCCTTTTCCATCAATCAGATTGATGTTTGATTGAGCTGAGGATTAAAAAAAAAATTGAAAATTTAGCTCTCTCTCATATACATAAAGAGAAAGGGAATCTGCTTTCTTTTTGTTAGTCTGGTGAGCTGTAGCTAATGTCATTGTTTGTCCATGTCTTACTTTATGCTCTGAAAGGTTCACTTTTCTTGTCTGTGGGGAGCATTTTCTTTTGTTTATTTTTCCCTTCCCTGCACTAGAAGCTTGATCCTAGGGTTTTTGAGGTCAGTAGGGTGGTGCAGCATAAGATTTTATGCCTGGTACACTGGATTTATCCTCTCACTTTGTGTCCATGGGATGCTGCAACAAGAGGCATCTGTTGCTTTAGCACCCTCTCAGTCTCAGGTCTATAAAGCTGCAAACGTTACTTGTTCCTTGTTGAGTCTGCAAGATATCACCAGTCAACTTTGGTCAAAGCCATCCACTTTCCCTTTAGTTTCTTAGATTTCTTTTGTCATTTGAATAACGTATAGGTTGGTGGAGGAGGACTCCATAGTTTTGAAGGATTAGAACTTCTGAGTTCAGAAAATGGGAGGTCATGACAGTGAGGATGTAGGATTTCAGCATAGAAATGATGGGAGCCTAAACTGTCCATCTTCCGGGATGAAAACGAATCCGCTGCCCGAAAAGGTTTCGAGAATGGCGATGAGTTCTGTGTCCATGTTTAAGCCGTCAAATGGGGCTGACCCTTTCTTTGGTTCTGGTTGGGATCCAATTGTTTCATTGAGTCAGAGTGATAATTTTGGCAGTTCTACGGGTGTTTCCCACGGCGAATTTCCCAATCCACCTTACCCCTTTGCGATGGAGAATCAGGGAATGAGTAGCACCTCCCACCTTGTTCAATATCCATCTGATTCAAGCTATGCTGGGATGGTGCCAAAGCTTCCTCCATGTTTTGGAAGTGGGAGCTTCACAGAAATGGTTGGTTCTTTTGGTGTCTCTGAGTGTGGCCAGATTGCTAACCCTGGGTGTCCTCCGAACTATAACCCGAACAGGGAGGGGGGCACTTCAACAATCGGTGCCCAATCGCACGATGATCACCAAATTTCTGAAGAGAGTGCTTTAGGATCTTCGCCGAATGGAAAGAGAAGGAAACGAGTTCCCAAATCCAACTCTGCATTCAGTCCAAATAAGGTAAATTGCTATGCTGAATTTGTGTAAGTTTTTTATTGATTATCTATCCCGGTGATGTTAATTTCTTTGTTATCTGTATCAGAATGTTGATGGGGAAGTTAACAAGGATATGTCTGGGGAGAGCTCTGATTATCTGAAAGAACAAGATGAGAAGAAAGCAAAAACTGAAGAAAACGCAGCTGCAAATTTGCGCGGTAAGCAGATGGGCAGACAGGCTAAAGAAAATTCTCAAAGCGGAGATCCGAAAGACAGTTACATTCATGTTAGAGCCCGAAGGGGCCAGGCTACAAATAGTCATAGCCTCGCAGAAAGGGTGCATTCTCATTACTATATATATATATCCGTATCAAATTTTCATGAAAATTTCCTTTTCAATTAGTTTATTGAAGCAATATAAGTTTCTGCTTGCAGGTAAGAAGAGAAAAGATTAGCGAGCGGATGAGATTGCTTCAAGAACTTGTTCCGGGATGCAATAAGGTATCAATATGTTTCGGAGTTGGTCAGTTTTATGAGTAATCTCTTATGTTATATATATAGAATACTGATCAATTTAATAACCAACCACTTTGCTAGATTACTGGGAAGGCTGTAATGCTTGATGAGATCATCAATTATGTGCAGTCTCTGCAACAGCAAGTTGAGGTATGATATTCTGCAGTCTAAAATGAGGAACTACTTCCGTGTTTTGTAGAAAAAATTAATCCACTAAGTTTATAGTTGTACTGCTATTTCTGCTAGTTGAAAGCTGAAACTAGATAACCGTGTCCATGTGCATGACTGTGAAATTTAGTACCGTGGTTGTCTACCCCTGAAATGTTGTATGATTCAGTGAAGGTTTGCTTTCTTTAATGCTTCAGTTTTTATCAATGAAACTTGCGACGGTGAATCCAGAACTCAACATTGATATTGAACGGATTCTATCCAAAGACGTAAGTTCATAAAGTGCTAGTATTACTCAACAATTTTGTCAATTACAACAAAACTATTAGTGAATGTATTGAACTTTATCTTGGTTTGCCTTTTCTGTAGATTCTTAATTCACGGAGTGGCGGTGGAGCTATCTTTGGGTTTAGTCCTGGAATCGGCTCTCCTCACCCATACCCTCCCGGTATGTTCCATGGAAACTTGCCAAGTTTGCTAACTTCAGCTCCACAATTTCCTTCCTTGCCTCAGGTAATTTGAATTGAGAGACTTCAAATCATTCCTTTTTGCTTGTCGAAACATTGGTTGAACTAATGCATGTGATTTTGCAGAATGTATTAGACAATGAGCTCCAGGGTCTTTTCCATATGGGTTTTGATTCTAGTTCAGCTATTGACAATATGGGACAAAATGGTAAATAACCCAAATTCATGTTTGCAAATCACTTTCAAAGTTCTTCTGTCTTAGCTTTCCTCTAACCCTGACACGATATAATGTTCAGCGGGCCGCTTGAAACCAGAGCTATAAGATTGAGAACAGATTATGGTCTACTCCCACCCGAAGGATAATTCAAATTTTCAGTTAACTGTACTTGACACAGCTAGAGAAGAAGAAAAGCGGGAAAGAAAAGGAAAGAAAAGGTTATTTCAGTTGTATAGGCTCTCTCGTTCCTAATTGTTTGTTCTTCGAATTTTTAGCAGAAGAAGATGACTTTTGTTATATTACAAAAGATGTGTATAATGAGACAACAAGGCAAGAGGTTTGATTGGTGATGAAGCTTTGTTGGTTGGTGTTTGTAGAAATAGGACTTTGCTTGAAGCTTTCTTAGGGTTTTATTTTGGGGGGAAAAACTGTGAAACAATTGTTTTTGTAGATTGCTGCATCATGAAAGGAGTAACAGATTTGTTCTGATATTCATGTAGCTTCCTCTCAAAAATCTCCATTTCCCTTGCAATAAATTACGAGTTATGTTTCTGCAAGTTCCGGTTGTCAATTTAATGCATCAATAGAACTGGTTATAAACTTTAATAAAAAATAAAAACCGACTTATAGCAGGTTCAGGGCGGCTCTATTTGTGCATATTTTTGCCACCAGCCTTTGTGACCCAGGAAGAAAAAGCACAGCAGTTTCAGTTTTGTGGTCCAAACTAATTTTTGATAGATATTTTTGTGTTGTATAAAAGCAAAGCAATTATTCTTGTTTTAGGTGGAACCTCTTCCAAATCTTTGCCATGCATCGTCTTTTCTTCCTATGGATTCGATTCTTCTACGTGTCAGATTAAATAACTCGAAAGAGAATAACAGAAAGAAGAGTGCAGAAATAGAAAACGCAAATCATTGCCTTGAAAGTACAGATTTTATGCTTTCTGATGCGATACCAGCAAATTTAGATGATGCAATTTTAGGGTAAGAAACCAAACACCACCGGACTCAATGCATCACTTCTGCTCATCTCATCTTATTGTCTCTGGGTCTCTAAATTGTGAGGATTCAAGAGAGTGATACGGCCTCGCTGCCCTTACGACGGTCTAGTAGCAGTATTTATCTCTACTTGCAAATGAGGTCTTAAATTCGACTTTCATGAAACAGTGAGTTTGATACCAATTTACGGGCCTGGTCCAACCTGATATGGCGTTGTTTGATATGTAGAATTATATTTCTAACATTTGGATTGAATAAACGACGTCTACAGAAAAGGTTTTCCTCCAATGTTAGGTGCTTAACCTTCAATTGAAATTGCAAAATTTCACAAGAGAAAGAAACAAATTACCATTTATACATAATCAGAGTAAAGCATCAAGAAGATTGCCTTTGAAATTGTAAAGTAGCTTGTGTTTTGATGTTTGAAGAAACAGATTTTCTTACAAAAAGAATGACTACAAACAAAAGAATGAAAAAAAAATTAAAAAAAAAAATAACAAACAATGAACATGCATCACTAATTCTCATCTGTATTTTTCTCATAGATGACATCCTTTCTCCGTTTATAGCACAACTATTCTTGTTCTTCCGGGTGGAGGGAGTCTGGAGGGTGGAGGACAAACAGGAAAGAGAGCAACACTCTCGGCCCTCTCGACGGCCTTCTCCCAAGGAGTCTTCTCTCTGGGTTGTTCTACTTAGATACGGTTACCACCCCCAGCTTGTCTGTGTCTCAATCAGCCATATATCGCTATGAAAGTTTATTGCTTTCCCTTTTTATTCTACCTGTTCGCCAATTAGGTCTAAACCGACCAGCAGGAACGATACTCCCTGAAACAACAAGAAGTAGAAGTGGATACCCTGAGCAGACAGAAGGCTCCTCGCCGCAGCAGTTAGAAGGAGGAAAGCCAATGCCAACTCCTTTGTGTATATTCTGTTGTGCTTCTTTTTCCTGGAAGCCCTTTGCTCCTGCTGTCTAATTTCTTCCTTCATTTCAACAAGGTCCGGCACTGAGACCCCCCTTTGATGCTTTGGCTTCTCAACTAAGGAGGTGAGATCGCCCTCTGAGGAACGGCCGGATTTCTTAGTGACAACCCACTCGTATGCGCTGCCAAGCTGAAACAGGCCGGAGATCATAGCGTTGAATTTTGTTACCGACATGGTGTTCTCAAAGAGAAGGTAAGGAACAATGAAAGGGAAGGCTTTTGGGGCTGGGAGGATGTTGAGAAACGACATGGTGGCGGGGATGTAACATACAACCCACGCTGGTAGCTCGGCCTCTGGGATGAACATTGTCATGGGGAGAATTATGCAAAAAAGGGTAAACGAATAGAAGGGTAATATAAGTTTCCGGAGCAGAAAGAAGAGAAAGATCAAATTGAATTTCTTGCCAATGCTGATCTGCGACAAGCAAAGAACAAGATATATATTAGTTAACCGCAATTCGCAACAATTCCTTGGCAAGCAAAAGCTGCAAAACAACCTTAATTGAACAAAGGGACAAGCAACACCTAAAGGATATATACCTTAGATTTTATAATAGCGGGCAAACAGAGGCGAAATAATTGCATAGGCCCCGAGTGCCATCGGTGTTGTTGCTTCCGGTAAGCTTCATAAGACTCGGTAATTCACACTGGCACTGAGCACATGGAAGATATAGCACTAACAACCATTAGCCAACCATTGAAACAGTGGAAGTAAACTAGTTTTAACAAAGGATTAATAAGGACTAAATAGTACCTCGACGTCATTGAGGAAAATGAATTTCCATCCGTGGAGGTGGGCACGAACAGCAATATCCATGTCCTCGACAGTGGTCCTCTCCAACCACCCACCAGCTTCCTCCAACGCCTTTATCCTCCACACACCAGCTGTCCCATTGAAACCGAAGAAATTAATGAACACGCTGTTCACTTGTTGCTCAACCTCAAAGTGGAATGACAAATTAATGTTCTGCAGCCTTGTGAGTAGGTTCTCATCCTTGTTCACAAAGGACCACCTAGCCTGAACCAGCCCTAGTTCATCATTGCCCTGAAATTTTCAATAATTAACCAATTTTAGTAATTAAGGCTATCCTAATCGCAATAATTAACTGCCTCATCTCATTAAAAGCAACAATCTTTACAATAATGCAGTTCGAACAGTCTCAATCAAAGTCTCACAGATTATGATTAACAACATAATTGGCAGCAATTAGGGTCTACCTTGAAGTGAGGCACTGTTCTCTTGAGGAAGTCAGGGGTGGGCTGAAAATCTGCGTCGAAAATCGCCACGAATTCATAGTCTTTGACATAGCTACAATGCATTGCAGACTTGAGATTACCAGCCTTGTATCCGTCTCGAATCACTCGATGCCGGTACAGAATGTTGGCTCCCTCCTGCTGCCACTTGTGAACTTCCTCTTTGATCAGAAACTGCGTCGTTGGATCGTCCGAATCGTCGAGGATTTGAATCAACAGCTTAGATTTCGGCCAGTCCAGATTGCACACTGCAGCAATTGACGTCTGATAAACCTGATTTTCCAAACAATCTAAATCAGCCAAGAACAAAATACACAAAAATCGTAAAATTAAAAGTTACCGAGCTACAAAAATTCGTAAGTTCAGTAAATTTACCTCCTTTTCATTGCACATGGGGATCTGAACAAGAACCATGGGGAAGTAACCGGTTTCCCCTGTTTCGGGGTCGAAAGCGCCTTCTTTTGGGACCGGTTTGATATTCTTGAACCGGATCCAGAAGCAACCCAGACAAAGGATTAGCCTATCCAAGCTCTGAATCATGAACAGAACAATGCAGGAACTGGCGAGAAACTGCAGCGGCGGAGCTAAATATTCGACCCGGAAAAAAACCCATTTCGAATAAACCCAGTCGAATGCGCCCTTAACCCCCAATGGCGACGCCCACAGATAATCCAGCTGCAGATGCGGCGCCCCAAAGTGCCAGCCTTTGAAATACGCCGCCACCTCAAACCCCAGAAGGAGCACCGACAGCCACAGGAACATCTTGATGCAGAAATAGAACCGGCTCCGGACGACCGGGTTCTCGACTTCCCTGACGCTGGCGGGCTCGACGTCGGCGTCTGTGTCCATCCTGCCGGAGGCGATGCGGCGGCGGATTGCGGATGCGAGGCCCAGCATTGCGGAGCCTACGGAGGTGAGGCAGCCGGCGGCTCTGTGGGCTCTGAGGAGGAGGACCCAAGTGAACTGCTTGGCGTTTTTGCCACGGACCCGACCAGGCGACTCGGAGATGAGGAAGTCCTTGTCGGTGGGGCCTTCGAGCTCGACCATGGACCAGTTGGGGTTCTCCATCTTGACGACGACGGGAGTGCCGCGGTGGGTGTCTTTATTATTATTCCACCAGCTGAAGGACGGCGCCATTTTTATGGGTGTGAGTTCCTCTGGGTGTCTGATCTCACGAAACCCAGCTCAGAAACGAACCGAAACGTTTCTATTTTTTTTGTTTTTGTAAATTTGTCGATTTTTCGGTCGGAGCCAAAACCCTTTTCGACCGCTTGAAGATGAAGAGACCCAGAAGGCAGAAAAGGCTACGAGTTTGATCTCATTGTCAGGAAATGTAGAGAGAGAAAGCGAGACAGAGGAAGGAGAGAGAGAGAGAGAGAGAGAGAGAGAGAGAGAAGGGGAAGGAGAAGAAGGACGCGTGGTGGAGAGAAAGCAGAGCGAGGCGTCTCTAAATCATTGCCAAATTCGGTGCTGCCGAGTGTTAAGAGAGAGAGAGAGAGAGAAGAGTGGGGAATTCTAGAGAGAGAAAGTGATTGAGGAGAGAGAAACAACAACAAGAACAAAGGTTGCGACTTTTCCTGTGGGGGCTGAGGCCAAATGCGCTACCATTCAATTTACAGCTTGCAAATGAAGACTCGGGGAAGCAATAAAAAGAAGAAGAGAGACAGAGAAAGATACAGAGAGAGGAGAGAGAAGAAATGAAAGAGATGGTAATGGTAACAGCTCAACACGTCTTTGATTTTGATTAGTGAAATTAATTAATTAAAAAAGATCAAAAGAGGAGGCAAGAAAAACAAAAAAATGACTCGACGAAAAAATATATATAATTTATTTGAATTGATTCGGAGAACCCACGTTCCCGAAGGTCAACGTTAGGAATTGATCCTCTTTACCAGTAACAACATTCCCAGATTTTCTCTCTAAACTTTTCACCAAACCGGAAAAAATAAATTAATTTGGAAAGAAAATCACAGAAACCGTGCACTAAACGATAATTTGGATTCCGTACAACAACAACAAAACCCCCCTACTCAATCAAACTGTACAGAAATTCAGAAAAAAAGGGCAGTTATTAACCGGATTTCCGACAAAAAAAAAAAAAAAAGACAATTTCTACTCTTTTTTGTTTTGTTTTTTTGGGTGTTTTTGCTCTCTTTTTTTCACCTACCGCTTTCAAGGTATAATAATATCAGCAACAACCAACAACGTAAGCCCTAACCCTGGAAATTTCCTTCGTACATGTAAAGGGACCATCTTTTTTTCTGGGAATTTTTGTTTTTGTTACAATATACAATTGAGGAAAAAGGGGAAGGAGAATTTACAGGGATGTTCCGGCGCGGTGGAAGGTACGAGATGCTTTGTTCCTCCTTCCGAATCCGATTGGAATTCCATCTGGGTCTGGGTGGCTGCTCCTCCTCCTCGTGTGAATTCAAAGCTCATAACTTTTTGACCATTTCTCTCTTTTTACTTTTTGACGTTTTAATCTGAGAAGAAAAATAGGAAAAAAAGAAAAAAATAAATTAAGGAATAATAATAATATTTCAACGAGAAAGACAGGGTATCAGATAGAGAGGAGAATTCTCTACCCTCATAATGTCTTTATCCTTTCATACCCTCCTATTTGAACGATTACAGTTAAGCTATGTTAACATCTTATATTGATTTTTTTATAGAATTAATAAGACAAAAAACAATGTGTAAGAGGAAGAGATGAAAATGGATGAGAATAGGAGGGTAGAGAATCCTTCAACAAATAGCTACCACCAAATGCGTCTTGATGCGACAAAAAGTGAAATTGATTTTTTAAAAAATTGGTTTTTTATTTTTATTGTTTTGTTTTGTATTTTGTTAATTATTAATTAATGGACGGATGTTAGTTTGAAGCTTCAAATGAGCTCGTTTCGTTAGGGAAAATGCAGCTATATAGTTATAATTAAGGGATTTTTAACGAAAATTTTTTGATACTGTTCACTTTGACAAAAAATCATATTTTTACACTAAAAGGTGAATCATGGTACAATAGTATTATTCACTTTATTCTTTATTTTGCCCTTATCGTTAAAACTCAAAATTTTCAAGTCTTTTTCATTAGTTTTCATTATAATTAATAGGTACAAGTAAAGTATAATATAATTTGTAATGTTAAGTGTTATGCTTGATAATTGAAATGAAATAAATTAAGTAATGCCACAATTTTTTTATTTCTATTTTTCAAATAAGTTTGTCATAAATTTTTTTCAACAAAAGTTTATCATAATTTACTGAATCTAAATAATTACAATCCTTGAGCTGGAAAATGTATTAGTTTGATGAGCAGTATTTATAGCATATTTTTTAAGTAGGATCTTGGTATTCTTTTACAACCTATTTAGTGAGGCGAATGAGATTGAATTTAGAAATAAGATTGAATTTGCAGCTTGTAATCCATGTGTAAAAATAGATTGGACAACTCACTTTATTGTGAATTCATAACACATCATGTCCAGTTCTGTCAATCTTACATTTGACACAACAAACAACAAAATTTTATATACCAAATGTCATAAGATGTGCAAAATCGTTCTTTTGGTTTCAGCTAGTTACGTTAGCGTTATGATTTTGTCCTTATTGATTTGATAATTGAATTATTACTTAAGCGTTAATAAACGTACTCATTTGATGATACATCATTCAATTTGTAAATTTTATCTATAAATTGATCTCTCTAACATTATCTTACAAATAAATTGTAAGAATAGTATTTTCGAAAGACGGCTGATCTTTACACTAAGAACGATGAGTTAAGGGCACAAACCGCAATTGACGTCCACGCTTCCATAAAATGTGTGCGCGATTACGACCCAAGGATGAGACACGTGGAACGTCGGTAGTGCATTAGTCATGAACTGGGTTTCCACCCCTCAGCCGGCACTGGGCCATAGCTATTTGAGCGTAATTCCCGGCTCCTTGCCAAATGCCAAGTCATCCCACCATTTTTTTTTTTTTTCCTAATTCTGGAAAAGGAAAGAAAACCTATGCAACATGCACGTAGTTACAACGTAAGTGAATAGTTAAGATCATAAGACTACGTAGTTCACTCTGTTTAACGGTAATTATGTTTGCATGAGGAATGAATGTTGTATCGATAACGGCATGTTTTATCTTAAACATGTTACCCATAATAATATTGACATTTTATCGATGGTTTGCTAAGCAATGATTACAAATGTCACATATTTTTACCGTATTAGTGTATTATCTCATGTCAAATAATGAATACAATAAAAATTTAGTAAGATCATACATTAATTGATATGTTATGTACTTGTCACATTATATGATACACAAATGTAATACAAAAATACACTTTCTCTAAAAAAAATTCTAATTCGTCCATAGAGAACGTACGTCGAATCATAGAGTGACAAGTTTAGTAAATGATATGACAATATTTTATTTATGTAAATATAAGGTATTCTGACTTTTATTTATGGAAAATGATATGACCATATTTCATTTTTGTAAGTATAAATTATCACCCATTTGTCTATAAGAAAGTTTACTAAATAAACTTGTAACCCACTTCATATTTACATAAATAAAATGTTATCCTATCATTTTGCTAGCAAATTTAATCAAAAACTGATTCTTTAGAACAACGTTGAGGCGTAAAATTTATATACCAAATGTCATCACCATTTGTGTTTTCTTATCAAATTGTTTTGCATGTTTAGATTAAGTTTAAATTGTTTAGATTTACGTACGAAAACATAATTTGTCATATACACATAGATTAATGATGGAATTAATGATTCCATAAGCAATTTTAGAGAAGATGCCATGCAACGGGACACTAATGACCCAATTATACAAGTTAATTTGTGGATGACAGCTCTACCTTGTGATGGTCTTAACTTTTAATTAATAATTAAATTATGTAAAAAAGGATTAAGCAAAATAAAAAGTTCTAAAAGTTGGAGGACATGTAGGACCTCGACGCGGTATCTTTATTTATCTAATCACGATTTGGTGACGGGTGAGATCAAAGAGCACAGCCCTTAATCCTTAATTTATGTTTAGGGATCATAATTACAGTCCAGGTGGACGGTCTATTGCAATTTTGAAATACTATATTTATATATTTAGTATTATATAATATGTGTTTGATATCATCTGCGTCGGCGCGAACACAAACCGACACTGCTCTCGTCAAATCCCTAATCAATGATTAATTACGATTATTATAAACCCATTAGTTTTGGAAAATGAAAAAATCAACCTTCAAGTAAAGCTAGGGATACTCTTATTTAATTCGAACAATTTCGTCAAATCATTTATATTCAAAGGGTTTCATATTTTTAGTCTAAGATAAACATTAAAAAACTAAGCAGACCAACTTAAAAGGAGAAAGCAAATTAAAAAGCAAAATGACTTGTTTGAAAATGCTTTAAAATGACTAGTATTTTTAGAGAAAATATTTTTATGTTCAAAAAATACGTTGTATTTTTACTAAAAAATTGTTCTAAAAACATTTTTACAAAAAAAAAAACTTCTAAACGAGCCCCGAGAAAAAATGAAAGTTACAAATGGATTGCATTGAAAAATATTGAAAAATTAGAGTAGTACGTGTCAATCAAAAAATGGCATGTCATTTTCTAATAAATTTTGTAACGTGCAGCTCTTGAGCCTTTTCTGTGTGTGGTTTTATGCTGTCCATGTCTTCCTCATTCCCTCAATTTTCTATTGCTGCTAATGACTTTCTGAGGATCCAAACAGTCCAAGTTCATTGTCGTTCTCTTGCAGATGGAAACTGGACAACCATAATGTATAGTTTTTAGATTGTTTAACATTTCAATTGCTGTTTTAATCAAGTCACCAACTATTGCGTTCTTTTCCAAGTTCTTCTATCATTAGAACGTGATTAGTGTGATGTGTTTTGATTTATTACGACACATTATCGTTACTAATCCCTTCTGCTTTCACCAACAAAGCAAAAGAAATCAGATGATAAAGAAGAAGAGTAGTGTTATTCCCGCGCCCAGTGTTTTATCTCCTCACACTCTTTAATGAAATTTTTAATTACAAGTTTGTTCATTTGTTAAATGATTGAAAAAGATATATAATAAAAATAAGTTGGGTGCGAAAAGGTATTAGGAGCTCTAGACTTATATTGTGTTGTGAAAGGATAGGACAATATGTAGGCCGAATTCGCCAAAAAGACAATAAAGGATGAGGATAGAAGGAATCTTGGAACGTAGATCCGCTTTCCATTGAAGGGTAAGAAGCAAGCAACCGATGATGATTAGATATTGATGATAATTATTGGAGTGCATAATCATACAATAACATAATATTTGGAGGTTATTCATTTGTTAGTAAAGTATTGTCGGAGAAGACTGCGTTGTTGGTAAAATAGCGTTTCAATTAGGAATAATAGTGGGTGGAGAAATAGCATACTAGAGGTTATTTAGGAATAATAGTTGGTGAGAAAATAGCGTTTTAATTTTTTAGCTTTTTATAGTGGAACAATGCTTGGCTACTCGAAGATGAATAAGGCCATCTCTAACCGATCTAGCCAAAGGGCCATAGGACTAAAAATAGCCTGTTTTGACACGAAAACTATCTCCAACCAAGGGCTAAGCCAAATAGCTCGTGGTCCCCATCCGACCAAAAATGGGAGAATTGGCCAAAGGGTTGGCCAAGAGTAGCCAGCCCTTCAGAACCAGAATGTCAAGCTTGACATTTTGTTAGCCCTCAACAACTACCTGCCGTCAACATGATGCCAGCTAGCAACAGCTAGTTGACATCCTGCTGCCGTTAGGTTACCGTTGGAATTTGATTTTTTTTTTTTTGACAAATTAAAAAAAAAATTCTAATTTTTATTCCTATAAATACCTAAGTCATTCCTACAACATTTCTCGCATACTTTTCACCATTCCATACTATCTTACTTCATTTTATTTCAATTTTTCACATTCTATTCTCTTACCTCTTCTAATAATCTTTGCTTTAATTTTTTCAATAATTTTCAAATGGCCACATATGCAATGAAAGGAAGGGCTTAGACCTAAAAAGAATACGAAGCTCTTTGCAGGGCTTATAAATGAGTCTCGGAAGATAGTGTCAATGGTAGTTCTCAAACAAGTGAAGGTGTTTAGAGGTGTGTGAATTCTACCCCAATATCCAGCCAATTTATTAACATTGAAAGCTGAAGATAAGAAGTGTCACGTAAATAAAAATCTTATCTAAAATGTGCACAACAAATTATATCTCGACACACGTGGCACTTGAAATCCTATTCAAACAATTATTGAGATTACATAAAGATAAGAAATATGGAGAGTTACTCACGTTAGCAACACATGTCACTCGAAATCATATCCAAAAAATTATTAAGATTATATAAAGATAAGAAATCTGGAGGCTTATTCATTTGGCGACAAGTGACACTCAAAATATGTCTGAAAACCTTATCTTAATATGGTAGTTGAATTTAAGTAACCGTATTAATTCAATTAAAATAATAAATTATGTTTGACCTATGACCATTTGGTCCCTCGGTTGGTGATAATATAAAACATGGTCTGATACTATTCATTAAAATGTAATTTCTTACAGAGCTATAAGGCTAAAGGAAGCTTTTTGGCCCCTACTTGAAACTCTTTGTGTTTAAATCACAAAATATTTTGTTTATGATCAGAATAATTCATATTACGAATCACTCTATAAAATCACAATGGCGCCATAGCTCATGAGATTTGGAGTTTTCCTACGCAAATAATGACGCCCTCGTTCATGAAATGAGTAGTCGAACTTTCTCAACAAAATAAAGACTAGATACTGTTGAACGCAACGATCATAATCTTGTAGGTTGATAGTCTTCCTTTTAGGCATTTTGGCTGGATGTAGGTTGGTGAGAAGACCGAAGATACCAAGCTACGGTCAAGTGAATTTGGACATTGTCCAAACTTTATAGTAATTTGAAAAAAAGCGCCGTGGACATTTCAATCAAACATGGCCAAATTAGAGGCCGCTCCCACAAATGGTCCAAAAACTTTTGCTGTCGCGTTCCGTTAAAGTCCACCCCATTGGTTGAAGGTGACTGTCTATTTCTGAATCGTAACTTCAGACAACGTCTTCATCCTCAAGGGACCATTTCCTGTGGAATATTATTACAACATCAGATTTATGGGGTTTTTTTTCAAAAACTTTTAAACGGGTATTTGTTTTTATAGGTCGCTCCGACACTAGAATATTATATTCCGACGTTGGAGCAACCCATAAAAACAAGACTAAAACCATAACTAGAAAAAGAAGAGAAAGATAATCTAGACTAGTAAATTTAGCCTGAACTTGAAATCCAACAGTCTATGCTTAAGCTCTCATCCAGAAACACGTCGGAAGAGCAGCTGTCGATAGGAGAGAGATGGCCCAAACAAACAGGGCAATACAACTTTATAGAGCTTTGTGGAAAGGGTGGTACACATCAAATCTTCATGTCTTGATGAATTGAGCGTGAAGCGGAACAGCTATTCCGCCAGGTGGAGAAAAAGCCACAATTAAAATTGGTTGAATCAATACATGCGTCGCGTGCATATAACACTTGACAGTGGACACAACTGACTGACCCAACACGGTTTTTCCTCGCATGCGTTTGTCACAGTTGATGAGTGCCGACAGTTGCAAAGTCTATGCTTTGGAATGGTAGTCCCCGTGCTGGAAGAGGTGGTATTTATGCTTGGAATGGCAATGCACGAGCTTACAGACTCGATCAATCATTTCGAAAGGGCAATGTACTAATCCAACGATGTGAGAGTGCGTTCATACAACACGTAGCATTGTTATGAACTTCTCAACATTAAGTGCAAACAATGGTCAATTCATATTTTTCGTTTATACGCGCTTGAAGTGGTGCTCTAACATTTCAGATTGTAACGCACTAGTCCTGAAAATCCAATTTAACCACTAAGAGAGCAACATGCAAATCGGAGATGCGAAAGTTTATGTACCACGTCAAATTGCCTCGTCAAACGAAAAAGATGAATTCACAACGCAAACGATGCGGCAAAAGATGAAAGCAGCTTTGTGGGGGCCAGTAGAAATCATAAGATTCAAAACAGCTTTGGTTAATGACAGCAAATCATGATTATTTAATGTAATTATCCACTAACGGAATATAACAACTGACTTAAGTCACAAATCATCAGTCGTTAATAGTGCTTTTGTGAAGCTTCCCGTTAGAACAGTTTTTAGCTGCTGGTGCTTGAATTTTTCTATAAAAAAATTAAAAAAATCAACTCTAATTCTATGTGAAAAGATTGTAAAACTTTGCTGTGTCAGCTTCTAGCGACTTTCTCACGGCTGAAAATGCTGTAAATGTCACTGGAGATAGCCGCCGTGCTTGAGGAGACTGCTAAAAATATCATCACCCATGAGACTAATTTGTCTTTCTTTGTCGCGATTCCACTAGTGTTCCTGCACAACAAAAGAGAGGAAGCGTTTTCAAATGACCACAAGTGCATTTATCAACGAAGATATTTGATTCAAGTCATACGGCACAAAAGTGCTCTCAGTGGTTCTAGTCTAAGTTCGAGACAACTTTGCCTCCTGATATTTGATGATCATAACTAAGCAAGCTATTAAATGTAAGAAGCCACAAATTATACGATATCAGTAGTTCATAAGAGTTAATAATTGCTTACCTAAGGGCTACGGCAGCTGGAAATATGAAACCAACGGCGATGGCAGCTGTAGCACCTGTGAACTGAAAGGCATCCCAGATGCTAGGCACAAAATTGGCTCCCAGAAAAATAAAACCCATGAGAGCTGCAGTTACTGAGTAGAATCTTCGGTTGTCATATGCGATAGGAATGGCAAAGGGAAAGCAAAGGCCATCCAAATTTAGGCGGAGGGAGAAAAACACAATGGGGAAAACGAGCATCAGGTGGACACCATAGCTCACCCTAACAATATCATCAAGAATCGAGCTATACGGAATTCCAAGGTCAGCATCAAAATTTGCCAGCACATCATCCATCGTATGATCCCCAAAGAGAAGGAAACCAAAGAAGCTGGTTGCAATATAAACAGTAGAGCAAAATGCAAGTGACATTCGCACTATTGACTTCATCTGCGCAGGGTCTCTCAGTTCATTCTCTATAGGGTGAACTGCAAGAAGTGCATTAGAATAGTATCAGCTAAAATAATACACAACCTTGTATTAAGCAATCAAATCCCATTTTAGATGACCATGTGCACCATGGTTATATACAATATAAGTAAAGTGTATCCCCCGTGTCATTTGATCTTTAACCACTCCCTCTGTATTTATAATCCAGCAGGCTAATTTGCATATGAAGTACTCACTGTTATGATGGCAAATATAGGCGGTGACAAGAATGGGGATGGTGGTGAAAAGTTTCCAAAACGATGCCTGGTCAACCAGTTTGGGCATCAAACGTGGAAATTCAATGCTTCCATCAATCAACTTAAAGATTGCTACTCCAGCAGTTATTGCGACAAATACAACAGCCAAAGCAACGGACAACGCTGATGTGTATCTCAATGAATCTAGCATAAAAAGAGAGTATATGTACAGAAATCAGTCACTAATTAAATTGCTGTTATGCCAGTCGACAACTAAAACTAGTAATTCACTGCACGTAGCAACAGTTCTTAAAATCCTGGGCACGTTAAAGAATCGAATGTGCATGAGTTCGAATCCTCTACAAACTTCTATACAAGAATGATCCAGCGACAGCAAGCAAGCTAGGCAACACAACAATGTACAACGGGTAATGCGCTGCACTTGGTTTGATCAAAATGACAAATACAAGCTCACCACCCAAACTACAGCTACTTATACGACAATTAACACGCTTCACATCTTTGCAGCATTCACTCGATTAGTCGTTAGCTGTTCATTCTAATCAAGAAACCGAAAGCAATACCTTACACAATTAAGCTAAAGACGGCGAATTAAGCATCTAAACCTTCATTTGTGTCTTTAATTCTCCGACCAATCTCTAAAGTCTCAAAGCAAGCGACAACCATATTTCACAAACACATGTTACTTTTATTATAACATAAAGAAAAAAGAGATAAGTAGAGAGATTGTACCTACGCGCTTGAAAGAAATAAGGGGAGCCAAAACAAACAGCGAGGTAAGAAGCAGCAGCGAGAACCGGGCCGTCCACCAGCGTTGTCCGAACCATTCTTCTATCACCCCCGAATGGCGGACTCCTTCCGACGACGTCCCCGATAGCACATCCCCTGCAACACCAAAAAATTCCAAAATTAGCCCCACAATTCCAACCATTCAATTTCCCAACCAATAAATCTCAGCCCAATAGCCGTCGGCAACTAAATTCGGAAAGTCACCACGTTGACCCAAAAACCCTATACCAATATAGAAAGCATATCTTTTGACAAAAGAAAAAGAAAGATAGCGAAAGCATATCTAATCTGTACCCATGATGATCATGTAGACGACGAGCATCCCCAAGTTGTTTACAACGACGCAGAGCTGGAGGAGTGTCCGGCCGGGTCCACCGAACGCGTCGCCGACAAGGCCGGAGTACGAGGCGGCCTTGGAAGCTCTGGTGAACCGCATGATCATGTCGATGGAGGACTCCGTTAGCATCGCGCCCAAGACGATCATAATCAGGCCCGGAACCAGGCCCAATTGCTTGACCGCCGCCGGGAGGGCCATGATCCCGGCACCGACGATCGTCGTCGAGAGGTTGAACACGGCGCCTGAAAAAGACGCCCCCTCGAAACCGGCCTCGACGGAGCCATAGTCTTCGTCGTGCTTTTGTGGCAGCAGCGGGGCTTTGGTGTTGCGCCGGTGCTTCCGGTCCGAGGACAGAATCGTCATTCCGGTGAGGTGGTTGATTGGTGTTTTGGCCGTTGAGGAAATTTGGCGAACGGATTTATGTGAGGGGGTTGTCTGCACTGAAGCCGACTTGTATTTACCAGTAACGCGTTGACGCGTGTCAATATCTTTCCGAAAGCAGGATTTTGAACGCGTGACGCTGCCGTTTAATTGGAAGTTTATTTCAAGTTGTGAGGTTGTTTTTGAGGAGAAAGAGACAAAAGGTGAGCTTTGGAAAGTCCTTACGTTGCCGCAAAACGCACAAGGAAGGGATGAGGCGCCTAACTAGGACCAGCGCAAGTAAGGAGATGGATTGTCTACCCTTCTTTTCTCATGCTCTCGTCATACCTTTCTGTTTTGTGCAATCACGGTTAAACTATATCAACATTTTATATTAATTTTTTTATAAAAATAATGAGACAAAAAGCAAATATTGACGTGGTTTAACCATGACCGCACAAAACAAGAGGACAAGGAAAGAGGAGGGCAGACAATCCATCTCCCGCAAGTAATTAAGTTGAAAAGACTTCGAGTTTCCATTGAAATCGGATTTGATAAAGCTTTACTCGGATTTCCTTCCTATTTGGGCATTTCAAAATTTAGTCAAAAGACTTGCGATATTTTTTTCTTTTCTTTGTAGATAATATCGTTTGTTTAAAAAAATTAAAAAAAAATTAGTCAAAGACGTTTTAAAATCAGATTGCTTACATGGCAGAATTTTAGGTGAGGCCAGATGTATAAATCTATGACGAGACATAGTGATACGATGCATTCACCGATGACACGGCTGAACTTGGTCTTCTAGGTTGCGGAAGTTGCAGCCCAATTTACGTATTGCACTATTTTGACCAAACATCGAAGTTGAATGAAGCATCTAATTTGACTCCAGCAACTGAAAGCATGGAAGATGAGGAGACTTGATCAATGATCAAGGTTAGCGATTTTCGCACTTCATTATTGATCATCTGCACTCCAAATTCGATATTTTACAATTTTTCTCGCGATTGTAGGAGACTAAAAGATGAGTGCTTAGAAAAACTTGACATTAATTATCACAAGAATCTGTGTTACCTTTGGGTCGAAGATTCATCGTTTGTAGGATGCAAAGTGGAAGCGACAAGGTTTAGGTCTAAGAACTCACAAAATATTATACAGTACGCAAGGGGCTGTTCATGAGCTGATGAGATGCTGGCTTGAACAGCCGAAGCAGCGGTGGCATTTTAATCTAGGTTATAAAGTTAGCTAAAACTTACAGGCATTGCCAGTTAAATGGCATGGCACCATATCAACGCTTTCTCTTCCGCTTGGAGTTTTTACTTGTATCACTTTTGGGGTCTTGTTCTTTCTGTGATGATAACTTGGCCCCAATAGTGCAACTCCACAGAGCTCTCTCTACATCTGATGGCGTGAAGGTGTCGCCTTCTGCGCTCAATTCCTGCAGACATTTCAAGCAGAAACTTAAAAAGTGAAGCAAAATCTATATAAATGTGAAGCTCTACAAACTCGATCACTTGTACGATTACTTGAAATACAAGGAAGGCACTTGCATGCAAACACTCTGGAAATTACTTTACATGATCACAAGTTGGTTTTGCTTAACAGTATGCTAAATCATATCAACAGAATTTACGAGAATTGAACACCGAAAAAGAAAATGCTACACTCAACCATCATAAAGAATGCCTAGAGTTAAGATTACGGCTTTCCACAGAATTCTATACGTATCATAGTATTATCCTTTTTCAATTGAGAGGAGAGATGGCCGGCAGTTTTGAACGGTCACGAGGACAAAAAATTAGCCCTGAGAAAGTCTTCAATCAAGAAGGTTGTATATGCACCCTCTCATACTCATCTCATCACACGAGCAGCGCATAATGGATAAATAGGAAACGGAACTGTTTACAACTGCCGGAACTTAGAATTATCGTCCCACACCAGCACCACATTACATTAAGTGGCATCAGATTTGTGTAATGTGCATGTGTTAACTTATATACTAGGAATCATCAAGTAATTTTCGATGTAACACAAACCCGAGAGAAACTGACTGACCTTAGCCTTCTCCTGCAATTTATTTGCAAATAACAGGTACTGCTTAAGTGTATAGTCTTTGGAGTTTCCAAGAGCTGCAACCATAGCCTTCCACCATTCCAAACACAAATTCAATTTCATAATTAAGCAGCAGGATTACTTTAATCAGAAGCAATTAACACATAATCAAATGAATAAGTTTCAATGTTAAGCAGAGGATATTTACTCTAATCAGAAGCAATTACCACAAAAATCAACAAACAAAACCCTAAATATTAAATCACCTCGTCGGACATGAAAGGCGCCACGTCGGGCGCATAAGCTGCAAGAACGGCGGAGGCGGTGGCGGGACCCACGCCTTTGAGCACCGTGAGCTCAGAGATGGCCTTCGAGATATCGGGAAGAGACCGAAACGCCTTTTCGGATGCCGATTTCACCACGGAATCATCCAAGGATGAAACGAAATCCAGCAGCCGCGGCCTCAAATTCCAGAATTTTACATCCAAGTTAGTACATCATCGCTATATGTATAGAAGAAATCAAGAGAGAGAGAGGAGGTACCGCCATTTGCCACGGCTGAGCTTCCAGCGCATGAGGTCGGAGAGCTCGGAGGTGGTGATGAAGGGGTTAGGGTTTCGCTGGCGGAGGAGAGGAGGGAGTTGGTGGCGGTAAAATTCGTCGAGAGAAACCAGATCGGGTTTGTTGAGCAATTCGATGCGAGACGAGTAAGAAGAGAGTGATTCTTTCCAGAGACCGAGAGTAGAGCTCTCAAATAATTCCATTGTTGCTGTGAGGTTTGCTTGCGGCGGCGGCGGTTGCCTGTTTGGTGCGGCGGTGGAAGGGTTCCCGCTACACCTGCCTTTTTAAATTAATTAATTTCGGCCTTTTTTCAGTCCAGTGTTTTTTCCGTCTTAAATCTTAATGGATTTCCAAATGGGTCCATTGGGTTGGGCTAATTTGACCTAGGTTTAGTATTACCCACCGGCCCAATTAGGAATGTACATGTTAAGAATATCTTACGGAAAATTAGAGCCGAAGTACATGCCTTCGTTGCCGGACCCAATAGCCTTAATCTTGGCTACGACACTTAAATCAGGAATACTGCTTAACTCTTTACATATAATAAGTTATTATTCTTTCAATGATGACAGACACATTATTTCAGTGTATAAATATTACAATATGAACCGTTAATTTTCTTCATGATCATCATTTAAAAATTATTTCTAAAAAAATTCATTTGATTTCGAAACCAATTAACCATCCATGTAATCAATCAAATTGATAGTTAATCATAAGAATGCTACTTGTTTTTATAAACGTCTACGTTCAACTCACATACTAAACAGTCTCCAAATTCAATGAATTTTCTAAATATGATTTTCATACAACCATACATTGAATTACACGATGATAATCAAAAAGTTAAAATGACTTTACGAGTATTTTTAGCTTACAGAATATGCAGGCAGAGGATGGACAGAGGACACTCTGTTAACTTTATACTCGTGCATTTCTGCTTCCATTGGCCATCATTTTGCATCTAATTATTACAAGCAAACCACCAATTCTGTCCACTTTTTTTATTTCTGTCAACAAAATTTGGTTGGCTTAATACTAACTGCTACATGGTCCATGCTTAATGATGCATGACTTTACGATGATGTTCTATTAAAAAAGTTTCGAAAGGTGTTAAGTTAATTAATCAGATACATCAATTGAACTTGTCTTTGTCCAAGTTATTTTTTTTTATCAAATATAACGACGCACAAGAGAAGAAATCACATGAAATTAGAACGGTAGTGTTATAATATCTCAAATTAATATTATAATTCATGTTATATAAAAATAACTCAAAAGATATAATGACGCCTGCTATAAGTTTCAAATACTCTACTACGACGCTAACGTTTAGATTGTATATAAGCTTCTCTTATGTAACGAAATAACTAGAAACGTTGCATGTGGTCAACGTATGTGATTCGGGTTGGGGTAGCTATTTCCTGTTCGGTAGTACACTTGTCTAGGATCTCCTTTATATCACATGTCATGTTTAAAATATTAAAATGTTATTCATCGGTGGACCTTGAATCATATTCTATCCAGTATCCCTTCTCACTATTATATTGCACCAAATCAGATCCATCAGTACGATGGCTATTGTTCTATAAAAAATTTAATATTTCTTTTCTCATCTGTACTATATTTTAAGCGTGATCTCATCTATTTTTATCTCGCACGTACCTTCTTAATTTTGAGTGAAAAAAACAAAAATTCAATCAAATTTGGGTAAATTATATAACACGATTGTTGATGATTTGATTATTACTGAAATATTAATTAATATATTTATTTTATATTGGTGACACATTACCTAGTTTATAAACGTGATTTAACAGATTGGTTTATTTAGCATTACTCATTCGATTTAGTTCGGTCTGATTGTCATAATAGGGTTTAAATTTCAAACTAATCAGATGATTGTCATAATAAATCCATTAAAAAAATGTTAGTCTTATCACATTTTCAATACCATATTCAATTTTTCTAATCGAGATGAGACACACATGTCCTGATGGGTTCTACGTCTCCAATTTTGATTTTTTTTTTTAATTTTTGTTACTCCAAATAACAAATGGAATATATAATAGTGAATCATTGTGAGGTTCTCTCTTCCAATTCTCCTCTCATTTCCTCATATCTTCTCACATTTTTTTACTTTGTTTTTCTCTTTTTATATATAAGTAGACACAAAATATTGACGTAATTTAATTGTGACTGTCCAATAGGAGGAGAAGGGAAGAAAGAAATCATACTCCAAATACCCTACCATGAAGTTGGTGTCTCGATTGTACATAAGTTTTTCTTATATATCAAAACAATTAGAAACGTTGCATGTGATCAATCTATGTGTGTTTGGACCCAAATTTACACCATCAGCCCGTGTAATCAAGGCCGTTAAGTATGCATAGTTTTCAATCGTCGAA